CCAGCTCCTCTGCCATGGTACAAGACTTTAAGAGTTTTATCATTCCCTGTAAATTGAAAGTTGATCGGCTAGAGTAGAGATGGAAGTGAGATGGGACTCTTTTGTTGGGATTTTTTTGGTGGGATTGATATTGGGTTTTGCGGAGATTGTTAATGGAGGAATAACAAGCAGTTATGTAAGAAATGATGATTTATCTCTTGATATGCCATTAGACAGTGATGTGTTTAGAGTCCCTCCTGGCTATAATGCTCCTCAACAGGTGAGTACTGCTTCTTTCAGATTCTGAATTTTACTACTTGCTATACCATGGTGTTGTGTTTTTCATTTTTGTGTAATGACCAAAGGTTCATATAACACAAGGAGACCATGAGGGGAAGGGTGTCATTGTGTCTTGGGTTACACCAGATGAGCCTGGTTCAAAGACAGTGCTTTACTGGGCTGAAAATAGTGAGCTAAAAAATTCAGCAGATGGCTTTATTTTGAAGTACAGATATTTCAATTACACTTCTGGGTATATTCACCACTGCACCATTAAGGATTTGGAGGTATGCAATATGCTCAAAGTTTTCACTCAGGAAGTAAGATTATGATTTGTAATTCAGTTTTATTATGATTGCAGTTTGATACCAAATATTACTATGAGGTTGGAATTGGAAACACAACAAGACAATTCTGGTTTATCACTCCTCCTAGACCTGGCCCTGATGTCCCATACACATTTGGTCTCATAGGTATAGTTCATATTTATTTATTCATTTTTATTCTCGATTTCAAGAAAACGATTTTGTTAGAGTAATTTATACTTGTATCAATGTTTCCGTAAGATTGTATCTTCATATCACTTGATCTAACATCTTGAGCAGGGGATCTTGGTCAAACTCATGATTCAAACAGGACAGTTACCCACTATGAGTTAAATCCAACAAAGGGACAGACATTGTTGTTTGTGGGGGATCTGTCTTATGCAGATGATTATCCATTTCATGACAACTCGAGGTGGGATACTTGGGGAAGGTTCATAGAGAGAAGTGCGGCTTATCAACCTTGGATTTGGACTGCAGGGAATCATGAAATTGACTTTGTTCCTGAAATTGTATGCATCTTAATTATTCTTATTTCGCTTTTTATCCCAGTGTTTTCAATTAATTAAGATGTTGCTTATATTTTGTGTTTCTCTGAGATCTTAACCACGATTTTCTTGATCAAACATTGGTAATGCTGTTGCAGGGTGAAAGGAAACCATTTAAGCCTTATACCCACCGTTATCATGTCCCATATAGAGCATCAGGGAGCACATCTCCTATGTGGTACTCCATCAAGAGAGCTTCAACATACGTCATTGTCTTGTCCTCTTACTCAGCTTATGGTAGGTTTTCTTTCACTCTTAGTACTTTTTGGTACTCTATTAAAGAGATAATGAGAATACATGAACGATAATGATCGGCCATGATCGATAATCTAATTTATTTCCGCAACTGCAGTACTAGACAATATTGTGATTCGTTCTATCATTTTCATTTTATATGTTCATTATCTTGTTGCACTGAATCAGAATTGGTGAAGAAGTGCCTTCTATGTCAAAACCAATCAAAACGTTATTGAGCATAATTTCCTGCCATGAAATGACTATTGAACTGTTCCTGATAGACATCACTGCCATAGTGCTACGTTTGCTTGAATTTGTGTCAAAGACTTGATTTGGGAAGAATCTCAAAGTAGAGCACTACTTAAAGTTGACATTTTGCAGGAAAATACACTCCTCAATACAAATGGCTAGAAACGGAGCTGCCTAAAGTAAACAGGACTGCGACACCATGGCTTATTGTTCTTATGCACTGTCCAATGTATAACAGTTATGCTCATCATTATATGGAAGGGGAAACCATGAGAGTAATGTATGAGCCATGGTTTGTGAAGTTCAAAGTTGATGTTGTTTTTGCCGGCCATGTTCATGCTTATGAGCGATCTGTAAGTGCATGCACATTCTCCATTTATGATATTTTCTCTGTTAATAGCATCTTGAATTGGTATAAAAAGGTTTCCCTTTCAAACCACTGTGACATGTTGAATAATACACATGCCTAATTCTTTAACTTTCTATGTTTTGCCATGTTACTTGTGGTCTCTTTGTCCACCCCCTATGTTTGATTTGGAGTCGATAGATTCTGTGTACTAGTTACTGAAATTAAAGATTCATGAAGATATGCAGGTATCCCATTATTGTTTGTCTCTATTGGCAGACAGCATGAACCCCTGCCATCAAAAGATCAATCACTCACTTGTTAAGTTCTCTTTACATGAAGAACTTGTTCTACATGGCTCATGCGCTAGATGTTGTTTCTGCTACCTCTGGCAATTTTGCCACAAGAGATACCCTATCCCAAATAAGTGAGAGTCACACAGGCATAGGGTGATATAGCATCAAGTCTGTTGGCTTTTTATGTGAACACATTTTTCGAATTTTACTTTATAGAAAGTCTTCCTGTTGGATGACACAGAACAAGCATAAATCTCAAAGTTTCTATTATTTAAGATAGTTTTAGAATGTTGTTAAGGGGATGGAGGCCTCTTTAAAGTTTGTGGTGCAATTGCTGCTATTTATGCGGACACAAGACTAGTAAACTAGATAAATGGGAGACAACATCAATAATTTTTGAGTAAATAGTTCTGTTCAGAAGAGCTTTAAGTCAATGGAAAAGGGAAAAATGCATTGAATTATTGCATGTTTATTACACTCGACAGCATTTGAATTGTTTTGCATTGCAGGAACTTATATCAAATGTTGCATACAACATCGTTTGAATTGTTTTGCATTGCAGGAACGTATATCAAATGTTGCATACAACATTGTGAACGGTTTGTGCACTCCCATAAGAGATCAATCTGCCCCCATTTACATAACCATTGGAGATGGAGGAAACCTAGAAGGATTAGTGACCAGGTAGTTGCTGATTATTTGTGTTTCATGAATGGTTAGCTTGTATATAGTTAGTTTTAAATTAAGCTGCCAACAGTAATCTCATTTTTACATCATGCAGCATGACAGAGCCGCAGCCAAGCTACTCAGCTTTTCGTGAACCTAGTTTTGGTCATGGCATTCTTGATATAAAGAACAGGACCCATGCATATTTCGGCTGGCATCGTAATCAAGATGGGTATGCTGTAGAAGCCGATTCCGTATGGCTCCACAATAGATTTTGGAACCCCCTGAGAGCTTCATCCGTGGCTGCGTTATGATGAGATCCTATTCCAAGAGCTGGGAAGGCGCATGTGTAGTGTACCAGTTTCATTCGGAATATGTGAGAAGTCTTCTCCAGATAATTCAAAATCTTGTGTGATATGTGCAATCTTGCAGATAACATGTACTCGGTGTATATCTCAGTTGTTTTGTGACCATGTTTCCTTCAAAACAGTGCCTGCTGCAATTTCTCATTGAACAAAATCTTGACATTGAACCATTTCACTCTTTTGATTTTAAGGCTTCTCCTTGTTCTAAGCAATTTGAATCAATGGCCTGACCTGCAAACCTTAAGTGAAAAGCATGTGCCAGGCTAGGCTCTGTTTGGCTTTGTGATGCGTGTGGTTGGAAATGCTTTTATGCTGATTATTTTTTAAAAGTTGTTTGATTTTTATTATTTAAATATTTTTTATCTCAAATTGTAATAAAAAAATTACTATAATTTATAGTTTTCTTTAAAAAAAAATTTTAAAAAAACTATAACAAGTGTTGCTCCAAATGTTTTTTGATATTTTTATTTATTTTATTTTACTTTATTACAAATAGATGGTTAGCTTCAAAGCATGATACGGAGTCTGGATGTATTTGGTATTATGGTTTAAAAATATATTAAAATAATTATTTTTTTAATTTTTAATAATAAAATATCAAAATTATTAAAAATTTATTAATTTAATACCCAAAATTATTAAAAAATTATTAATTTAATACTTTTTAAAACTAAATATATTTTTAAAATATATCTACGTCCAGTTTCAAACTTAAAAAAACAAATGGCGTAAATAATCTTGTTTTCTCTCTATGTGCCACATGGAAGCGAACTGTCTGGCTCCGTATAGATTCGGGTTCTGTCGCAAGCTGGCTAGTTAGCTTATCATGAGGTCTTCTTCTCATATCAAATTTGAAACCTGTCGTGAATTGCAAGTTGCTGCACCGAATCTGATAGTTGTGTCAGTCTGCAACACTTACAAAAAGGAATGTGGGACAGTCCCAGATTACAAAACCACTTGAAAATAAGAAATACAAAACTGGACAAATAAAAAAAAAAAAAAAAAAAGTTGATTTGAACTGAAATAAAATTTATCAAACTTATCCGTTTGAACCAATTTTAATTTTATTTTATTTTTTTTAATTTAATTTAATTATTTTTTTATAAAAACCAAATCTAATATAAAATAATCACCGTTAAATAACACTATATATATTAAGTTGCCTAATCACCTCTAAATAACACTATATATATATATATTAATTTACCTGCTTTAAAAACCTGACAAAATAAAAGTATATTTTTTCATCCAATCTTTTCAAATAGTGTTATTTTGTAAAAGGAATTTAACTTGCTAATTTAAAAAAAATGCTGGAAAACTGGCTGCGATGAAGCTTTATTCAAAATATACTTGTGTTGTGCAATCTGTTGAAAACATTTGTATAATCTAAACTGCCCCAATATTTGTTATCTTTAGCTTTCAATTTCTTTTTGAAACAAATCTCCGACCATATTATTAAACAAGAAGAAATCATGGATAATAAAATACTGTGATGGTATTATTGTCAAGTGCCAAACAATGATAGATGTCCGATAATGACCTTTCTGAAATCCGAATTTCAAAAGCTTGAGAAAGAAAATTCCAGGGAAAGGGCCAACAGCAACTTGGATCGATGCAAGAAAATTGTAAGAAGCAAAAAAAATAAAAATATAATAAAAATTGATGCAGAAATTTGGAAACATGTGGGAAAAGATTTTCAATGATGTGCAATGAAATTTAGAAATTATAAAAATCAAATTCAAGCCAGACCAGACCATCTTTTATTATTTTGGCTAAGCTTTGTACACATTATAGGCTAAGAGACCACTACAGAAGTATAAATCACAGTAGGAGAAGCACGTGACTTATGCATGCCCGTGACTTGCTAGAGAGAGACATCCATAACCACACGAGCCAGGATTAAAGCCCAAAAAACTCGGTGGCTTCACGGCTATATAAGGATTGTGTGTTTTTATTTCTCTCTGTTAACTTCCTTCTGACTCAGAAGGACATGTAAGAGAACAAAAGCTTCGATTTACATGCACCACGGAGCCTGCAACGTGTCCCTACCTGTTCCTTCCATGAGATTGCTAGCGAAAATCCCAGGATCTTCCACCACTGGAAAATTAATCGACATTGCTGCCTCTACCCAAATCGAGTCATCGAAAGGAATGTTCACGTTGAAATTCGACCAAAACTCTTTGATTTCCACTTCACTTCGCCCAAAATTCACTTCATTTACTGCCTCCATTCCACCCGAATCCACGCTTTCGTTGGAGAAATACATGATTGGATCGTGGTTGTATAACATTGGTGCCATTTCAATAGACTCAATACTTGGGGTATTGGATGAGCATGCAGATGTAGTAGAACTACAGTTATGGATGATTTGACAAGGTTGGCATGTCATTTGGGTCGCCTGGAAATTGGCTGGAGAGGCAGGAAACTGGCAATTATTAACTTGAAGCTCTGGTAAATTAAGCTTTGCCTCAGGTCCGTAAAGTTTACGAGCAGCAGCATCGTAAGCCGTGGCAGCTTCATGGGAGGTGTCAAAGGTGCCGAGCCAGATACGAGCACCACGGTTGGGCTCTCGAATTTCAGCCACCCATTTCCCCCATGTTCTCTGGCGGACACCCTTGTAAGTGCAGAGAGCATTCTCTGGCCCCCCTTTGCCTCTCATGCACCCCTTCCTAGAACTAGCCTGCGCAGGCTTCTTGAACTGTTTTTTCTCCCCAAAACCACTTGTGGTTGATTTTGACATTCCTCCCATAGAAAACACAAGGAAATAAACTAAGCAGTAACGGTTGTGAGAAGCACATTATGCAGCGAAGGGGCTTATTTATAAGGCAGTAATCAGCATAGAAGGATAAGTGCTTGAACGCAGTAAAGAATCAAGGATCTCGAAACGTGTCTCCAAATGAGCTGTGGCTGATACTTGGCAAGAAGAACCGGAACAATCGTGTCCACGGCAGAGCTCAAAGTTCTCTTTCATGGACAACACTTGGCTAGTGCTGTTTGTCAGTACACAAGCTCAGGTGGCAAACATCGAGGAGAGCTAGTTTTGGGTTTGCCTTTTATTGTTAATTTAGTTGGGATGACAAGAACATTTGTGGGCGAACGCTCGGGGATAAGAACACATTGGAGTGCCCAAGACAGGCACATGACAAATTGTGCAACGGCTGCTCGAGACGTGGGGCTTCCCGCCTCTTGTGCGGTGCTGGGGGCTTGGAGTTCAGTTCAGGGGGAAAGCAACTGCCATATTCATGCACTGCTAATGGGACCCACTACCTAGATTTTTTCCACGCTTATGCCGTACACTGAACCTCTCCTTAGGATTAGATTTCAACTTGGGACATGCACTGAAAAACAGTGCATGAATGTACAGCTAACTGATTTCTGATGCTCCGCATTCATATTCCAGCTTGGGTCGTGCCCTAAAAAACAACCTGCGCCTTCTTGACTGCAGGTAACATGGTGTGTATGAGAAAAAAAAATTGCAAGCTCTCTGACTGGATTGAAACACACCCGAGCGTCCAAGTGTGAAATAAAAGATGGCTTCATGGCGGGGCTGCAGGAGAGATTGCGGTGCCCTATCTGCAGTTTACAGAAGTAACGAAAAGCTAGTTAGTAAGCAGGGATCAGATTGTTGGGCCGCCTCCCATTGTAAACTCTAGCCCATCATTCCCGGTCCACACCAAGTCCAGGTAACATATTTGTCCGACGTGTAAAAGGCACCGGGATCTGAACATATCTCTCTTCAAACAGGACTTTATGAAACCTTGGGCGCTAACCTAGATTATATCTTTACCCTTCCTAGGATTCAGACTCTAGAAGAATCAGACCTCCAATTGGAGATATCTGACTAGACTCTACCGTATACAACACACAACGTCTGGGGATATATATATATATATATATATTGTCAATTAGTAAGGGCATGTTTATTTTTTCATTTTAAAAATGTATTTGCAAAATTTTTAATTTTTAATTTTTAAATAATATTTGTTTATATTTTTAAATTATTATAATATGTTGATATCAAAAAAAAAAATTAAAAAAAATATTTTAATATATAAACAAATAACATTTTAAAATACAATAATTACTATACTTCCAAAAACTCTTTTGCAAAGCAACCCAACCATGGCGAACGACATGGCCTCCTCACTTTGTCACGATATTTTACCTAATGGACTTGGTCTCCTCGCTTTGTCCTCCCTAAATGTTTTTTCACGTTGTTCAACAAATTTTCAAGCATGGATTATAGTTAATAATTAGTTTGTATGTCTCCCTATAGGGGATTAAAAAAAAATTGAACCTAAAAAAAAATCTAGGTTTTAATAATAATTTTTTATATTGTTATTAAACTAAAAAATATAATAATTTTAGAAAACAATTATCAAGATTGTTTTTTATTACAAAATAAAACTAATATGCGCATTCAAGAATTATGTGTTACTAAATAATAATAACTTTATTGTTTTCAACTAAAAATTAAGAAAATTAAAATAAGAATGTATATTAAAATATCTAATCCCATGTTGCTTTTTAATTTTTTATCTAATTATAAAACACTAACTTTTTTTAAAATGTAAGTTATTTTAAATAATCACAAAATATATATTTTTCAAGTCTAAAATGAGTTTTTTATTAACATATTTATTATTTGTCTTAGCAAATGCAAAGCTTTTAAGTGAAATTATTGTTTCTTAAAAAAATATTTTACACTGTTAAAGCATATTAAAAATTAAAATATCATATAGACATTTAATATGTGTTGGAAAGCTAAAAAAATCTTAAAATTATTAAAACTGTGTTTAAGATCTATTTAAAAATAATTAAAAAATTGATTCAATATTTCATGGTTAATTTATTGTTAGTATTATTATTTTAATATCATATACATAATAATTAAAAAATAAATTATTAAAATTTAATTAAAATTTTATATTATTATTTAAGAACCAGCATAGAAAAAAAAAAAAGAGTTTAAAAAAAAATACATAAAAGGATCAGTACGACATAACACCTGTCCCCTTAATACTAACCTAGGCGTCCCCTCAACAATAACCTAGGCGAGCAGGCGTGAACGACATGCTTTCAAGGCATGAACGACATGCCTTTTTTTTTTGAAAAAAATTCAAGCAACCACCAATTGTTTGTTGGGGGCAGACACTGAGTTGTCTCCTTTCCTAGTTTCTTGGAGTCCAAGTGGTCAAAACTGGGCAAAAACATCTTTTGTTTTTGGGACGAACATCCCATCTTTCAACAAGCTTTTGATCTTAAAACACATGAAAACAACATAACTTATGCCCTTAAAATTATCAAAAATCAACTCTTGACTCCAAATTTTTCCAAATCTCCATTTCTTTTTTCAAGTAATTTGAATGTCAATAATCATCTTCATCTAATTCCCCATATCAAATAAAACATTTAAACACCAAACTTAATTATTTCTATTGTTAGAACTGTCACAACTAATCACGTTGTCTCTTTGTTACTGTTTTTTAACGAGTTTCTCTTGTCCAAGGACTTAAAAAACAAATAAAAAAATTTATGGATTAAAATAAATATTAGCAAATTTTTAATACCAGTCCTTAATGTTCTTCGTGTTTTACAATTTAATTCGTTTTCTTTTAATTTAGTGCTTCTGCCATAATTGCAATACTAATTCCAGATTTGAAGGAAGCAATTGAAAGGGAAAAAAAAAAAATGAGAAAGCGAGAGAGAGTTGCTTGACTGTTCAAATGAATAGTGAATTACCATCAAAAACCCATGTTTTAGGTGATTCTCCCTAAATGTCTCCAATTGTCAATAAAATGGAATTTTGAGCTGGCATGAGATGTAAGGTCAGACAGATCCACACTGAGAATTATGACAATCTGCAACAAACAAATATGAAGTTTCGATACAAATTACCTACATAAATTTTGTGTGGACGCTGGTTAAAACGATTGTAAGTACTAAAAGTACTGGGTCATAGTAAGCACCTGAGCGTGAATTGCTCAGTCAGCTTGGTGAGAATTTTAGCATGCATGTTGCAATTCTGCAATTTGGCAGCTCTTGAGCGACAGGCAAACATGTCATGGTGGAAGGATTTATAAATCAAACCATAATCATGGTATAATCAATGTAAGCTTTAGTAGACAAACTGATGGCCGTTGACATTTTGCAGCCCCAATGCTTTCATGGTCTCGTACTTGGTTCCAATGCCTCTTGAGAAGTGCGCTGTTTGAAGTTGTTAAGCTTACCCTACCTGTGGTGTTGCAGGAATTGAGAATGTACAATTTTGAGTACCTTGAAAGACAATAGTAGTGGTGCTAAATAAGATTGACCTGCCTGAAGTAAAAGTCCACATGCAGCTTCAACCCTTTGTTTTCAAATATCTTCCTTTCCGAGTATCTACATGTATTTATATAGAAGACCTATACTCTCGCTTTAATGTATCAATTATTCTTTCAGGCAAGGACTGGGCTTCCATCTTTGACTGGAGAAATATCGAGAATTGGTTGTGATGGGGTACCTTCTAAGCCAAAAATGGTGTTAAAAGATGCAGTTCATTCATTGTCCACTGATGATGGTAGTACAGATAAGTTGTCTCCTCAGATAACTAATAAAGATAAAAGGGATCAAGATATAAAGGATTATCCTTGTCCGCTTGCTGTTGTGGGCGTTAGTGTTCTGTTAGCTAACCATTTTTCCATCTTTAACATGGTATGGAAATCGTAGCACTGTACCTTCACCTTGCCCCATGGTTTTCTTTGATAATCTGCACCTTAATGATTGTAAAGAATGTGATTTCTTATAATGCTAGGTTTACAGGATTGAGTGTACTAAACTTTGATCATAAATTACCGCTAGCAATGATGTCTTAAAATATTGCCTTTTGCAATTCATTCAGGCCTTGGATTTTCATGACAAGTAAGTATCCTAGTAATGTGTGTGATAATCTCTTGTAGGAAGATTGAAACATCTTGGTTCATTGTGAATTCTGTCCTTCCAACGTATAAACCATAGCCTTTTCCTTCTTTTCCTCTAATTTTCTCTGTACTTTTCTTTGTTAACCTGGATCTGCACAGCTGATGACAATAATTCATGTCTAGGATTTTCTAGTCAAATAAAAATCTAGTTAATTTGCAGGATCATCTCTGGTAGGAGGATCACTATCATCAAATCTATGAACTCCTATGCATAAAAGTCTGTTTTTTTCCCGGGAATTTGGTCCCGCATCTATCTCATTGCTAATTTGGGGTGAGGTGAATTGGAAGTTGTTTCACGTGCTCTTCCTTTCTTCTTAGCTTTCCCATTTCCAAGAGGAAGTAAAGAATCATGCATAAAAACTACCAAAGGCAAGTCTAACCCCTTAAAGTACAGCTTAAGCTTACAAGCTTGCCTTGCAGCCTTATATTAGCCTCGTTATCTAATGAGCTATTCCATGAGCAAAAGCTTCATAAAAGCTAACAGCTGTGTAAGATTGCATAGCAGCCCCTCCTTTTCTTTTCCCTGTTTTCTTTTGGGATTTTCATGAATCAGGTCCATTCCACATCCTGGCAAGATTTGGGAGTGATCTCAATTGCTTCGCAAGGAGAAATGGCAAGCTTACAGCTCTACACTGTACACAGGTAAAAAGCATGCCCAGATAATAATCTATTGTATTTTCATGGTTATAGGACCTAGCACAATCCAAGGGCTGGTTCACAGGTCAGGTCTTTTAGGTTTTTTTAATGAAAGACATAGTTTTAGATTATATATATATTGACCAGTTCACTTAAGTCATGGGTTAACCCAAGTCAACTCCCCAAGCAATATAAAAGCAAACCTGGCCTATGCTTGGCTCCATGTAAGCGACTCCCTTGGACGACCCACTAACCAGGCAGTGTTTAATAACTATGGTATTTTCTCAAAGTATTGAAATGCACTACAATGCTTAAAAAAGCTAATTGAATTGGGTTCACTCCCTAAAGCTGTTTGTAGAGATCTTGAAGTTTATTTTTTTTATTTAAATAGGCAAGCTATACCCATGG